TCAAATTTTTTTGAGTCCTCCTCTGACTGCATTTCAAAGCTGAAACAAGCCTTTTGTTTCATTACTCACATTTAGAATTCTGTCAGTGGTTCAGCCCGCAGAGCATCAGAATGACCTGTGATGTTCAGTAAAAGTGCTCTGCCAAGCCGCACTCCAAAGCTCGCGGCTTCAGAACCATTGGGACCTGGCAATTCTGAAGTACACCCCCAGTCAAGAACCTTTTATGGTGATTTCTCACGTTCCCTCCTTTCTTTGTTTCTCTCTGGCAAGTACACACACACTACAGCAGAACTTAAAAAACAACAACCCACAATGAAGCAGGCCCAGCCAGTGGGGCATGATACTAAGACACTATGCTCTGCAGGCGGGGGCCACAAGAAAGGCCCAGGTTTGCTTCTCAGTCCAATCTAAAGGCTGGATATAGCAGCATGTGCCTGTAATTCAAGACTCCCGAGGCTGAGGCAGAACTGAGGCAGAACTGTGACACAGTAAGATCCTGTCTTAAAAAAAAAAAAATCCATACAATGAACAAAAAAAAAAATGGCACCATACCAGTGCTGAGCTTAGCATATGAAGGCTGCTGTTACATGCTGTTATTGTATGCAATCTGTGTGTGTGTGTGTGTGTGTGTGTGTGTGTGTGTGTGTCTGCCCTCATTTGTTTTCAGGGGTAGAAAAGCTGCTCTGGCCAATCAAGGTTATGAACTATTGCTACTACTTTTTTTTTTTTTGCAGCATTATTTAATTTTACTTATTTATTTTTAATTTGATCAGAAAGGGGCAGACTGAGAAAGTGAGAAAGCAAGCTGTCAGGTCCAGGACTTGAACCACAGTCAGCCATGAGGGACTCCTGGGCCTTAAACACTACGCCACCTGCTGGCCAGGCTATTACTTTTAATACTCAACAACTAATCTGTAAATGAAAATTTACTGGACGCTATTACAAACGTGGCCAATAGATGCGGCTGACTTACTACCTACACTTTAATGTCAGAAAGTGAATAGATGGGAGCCCTGATTTATTTAGAGCAGCTATAATACTGTGCAGGTCCCTTACCTCATCTGGGCCAGTTCCTGCACCTCAGTAAAATAGAACAGAACTTTATCACAGACCTACTGAGTATTACACAAAAGAAACAGAAAATTATAAGCCTGTTAAAATTGGGATGTCCCCCAGAAATTCATGTACTGAGACATGGTTGTTCTGTAAAGGTGTTAAATGAAAACCTAATCCCCCATGGTGTTCCAGGTTGAGGCTTCTGAGGGTCATTAGGGCGGGGCCCCTACTGCTGAGTCCTGGAAGGTTAATCAGGGAAAGAAAAGGAAACCCAAACAGGCAGAAACCCGAAAGCCAGCCTCTCTAGAGGCTCAAGAGTCTGCCTTCCACCAGGTTGTAGCCTCGCCAGAAGTTCCTGAACTTTGAGACGCCAAAACATCAGACAGATAAGCCACTACAGAAACATGAAGCAGGGACCAGCAGTTAGCATAAAGGCTATGTCGCTGGACTTCCACGTAGTTGACCGTGGTTCGTGTCCCGGACCCGGTGGCTTAAAACTCACACCCGGCGTGTGTGTGTGCGTGCCCAAGATCCCGAGAGGAGAAGGGATTACGGCTTGACCATCCTCCCTGGGGGGTGATTTCTCTCTCTGTCTGGCAAGCAAACGCGCCCTATAGCAAAAACCTCTACAAAAAAAAAAAAAAGGAAAGGGAACCAGCAGTTAGCGTAATGCATAATCCCCTGGAACCCCACGTAGTCGACTGAGGTTCGCGTTCCGGACCCGGTGGCTTAAAACCCACGCCGGGCGCGTGTGCGTGCGTGCCCAAGATCCCGGGAGGAGAATGGAGGAGAAGGGATTGCGGCGTGGCCATCCCCTCTGGGGGGTGATTTCTCGCTTTCTGTCTCTCTGTTTCTGTCTGTCTGGCGAGCGCACGCGCCCTATAGTGAAAAACCTCTCAAAAAAAAAAAAAAAAAAGGAAAAAGAAAGAAACATTAATCACTGTGGAGGAGTCGGACCCCAGCATCACTGCTCAATATTTATCTTAAAATCTAGACCTATAGTTTTCAAAAAATTGTCATTGATATGTGAATTTTTATACTATATCTAGAAGCATTATGTAACATTATGAACGTTAAATTTTTGAAAAACAATATACTACCACAGAACAGTCATGTTTGCAAAGAATTACCATCAAGATACTACATTACCTTAGGTACATTACTATCTTTATGGGTCTCACCTCACTTACAAAATAGGGAAAAGCTTCCTATAGGAGGATTTAACCATATCATCTCCTGAGACCCCTGGAGCCTCAAGATCTGTGGTTGACGTGGACATTACAAATTAACTCTTTCCACACCTTTGCAAAGTGAGAACAAAGAGGAAGGGCAAATGGTTTAAAACATTTCCTACCAATTGTAACTATGGACAACGTACTCAAAGCCAAGTCACCCTGATAAAAACCCAAATGCCTACCCTTTAAGAAAAACAGGTTAGGGGCCAGCAGGTGGCGTAGTGGTTAAAGGCACTGGAGTCCCTGGTGGTCCACAGCAGTTCGAGCCCCCGACCTAGTGGCTTGCTTTCTCACTTCCCCTTCCTCTCTCTGGTCAAATTTAAAAAGCAATAATAAGAAATGGAACTAAATAAATAACTTAATTTGTTAAATAATTTGAATAATTAGAATTATTTTTGAATAATTCTTTTTAAATTAACGATTTAACTTTACTTATTTATTTATTGAAATTTGACCAGAGATGGACAGAGCAAGCGAGGCAGAAAACGTGAAAATGCAAGTCGCCAGGTTCGGGCCTCAAACCGCAGTCGGCCCTAATAAATGAGTAATTCTTTAAAAAGAAAACTAATAAATTTAACAGGAATCTATTTATGCCTAACAAGCAAGAAAAGTGCAGGAAAAAAAAAAAGTTTAGTCCAGGATCTGCAGCCTACAAAGCAAGGTGAACAAGGAGACTATAGCATAAACACCAGGGCATCTGGAGTCAGTGCCTGCCGTCTCCCTACACAAGCCAAAACCGTAACTTAGACGTATGGAAAGAAAACCGTTAAGATCTGATCAAAAGAGATTTATTAACATACTGATATATAACTGAAGCGATGTGGCCAAAGGCTGCTTTGCACATATTGGGGTACCACCGCTTCCTAGTTCCGAACCGCGAGCGGGAGGGGACGCGGTTACGTAACATCGGGCGCTCTGTCCATTAAATTAGGCTCCGGAGGGTTTCCGCACGTTAGCCTACAGGGCCAGAACCTTTAAGCCTAAACAAAACACTCCGAACCGGGGGAGGAACGAAAAGCTCCAGGCCCACCCAGACGCCACCCACCGCCGACCTCCAGGCGCTCCACGGAGTGGCCGAGCGAATCCGTCGCGCCCGTGAGGTCCCCGCTTCTTCAATCAACAAACGCTCCCCGGGCGTCGCGGCCGCGGCTCGGCGGGGGGGGGGGGGGGGGGGCCGCCCCG